TGTGTGTGTGTGTGTGTGTGTGTGTTACAAAGAGAGAAGAGTCTATCACTTTTTGAAAATCCACATGAGACGGCACAGCTTTGCATGGTGAAATACCCAGTGTCCGTGTATGTCTTTGTTCCTTTGTCTCTTATGTCTGTAAATGATTTTACTGTTTGTTTCACTCTGTCATGGCACAGAAATCTCGTGAGGTGAACCGGGACCTCCAAATCCAGTTGGACCAAGCTCAACAGCAAGCGCAGGATCCCAACAGCAAAGGGAACTCTCTGTTTGCTGAGGTAAAAACCAACCCCGTCAATCAAAACTCAGGAGCAACATGCACCAAAATGTTTGGTATACAGGAGTCTGAATGAAAAGTCGGCCCTGTGAAGTCAGTTTGCATGTGTTTACCTTGTGTATTGCAGCTGGAGGATAAGCGTGCTGAAATGGAGAGACAGCTGATCAGTATGAAGGTCCAGTATCAGTCCCTGCAGAAACAACATGGCTTCAGCAAACAGCAGCTGCAGCGCATGAAGGTACTATATGTCACAATACATAGCTATAAACATGCACTGTTGTTTGTTTTGAACCAATTGTTACATGTGTGTTGTTGTGCAGGTTCAAGTAGCCACTCTGATGCAGCTCCAAGGTTCCAGGGCTGACCCTGCGCAGCTGGAGAGACTCCAGTCCATGCTGTCAGAGAAGAATGGAGAGATCCAAAATCTCATGACTAAACTGCAAAGACTGGAGAAGGTGGAGGTGCGTGCTTATTAACCAACAACTCATATGTTAGTGGGGAGAAACAAATCCCACGGACATATGCTGCGCAAACAAAATCCACTTATGTCGTCTATCCACAACTAATCAATCAATATGTATGGAGTAATACAATAATACATCTCATTATGATTAATAATCAAACACTGTTGGATAGGAACAAATGAGGAGGAGGACTGACAGATATGTTTAACAGAACATTGCATAAAATCTATAAACTCTGGTCAATGATGCATTTGAATCACCTTGTGTCTACCACGTGTGTGTCTGTGTGTGCAGATGATACTGAAGTCTCAGCCAGCTAATTTAGCTCCAGCTGAGAGCGGCGATGGCCAAGATGAGACCTACTACACTGACCTGCTCAAAATGAAGCTCAACAACACTGTGTGAGTCTAACTTACTCACCATGTCTCTAAATGGTGGCTGGAATAAACTTGTTTTACAAAGCCAGTTGTTTTTTCCCATCATACATCTGAACTCATGCCTCTCATTGTGGGTGTCAGATCTTAGTGGTGTTGAAATTATCAGTGGAAAACAAATTGCTAATTTGGCTCAACATTGTAATTTAGTCATTTTGGAATGAAATAAAATAATTGATGGGTTACAGAAACACTTGCAGTATCTGATACAATGGATTTGACTTTGTCGTACGTGGATAAAATGCCCCCTTTGCTCACTCCAAGTTTATGTGTGTCCTCAGTAAAGATGCAGAACGTCTAGGGGATGAGCTTTCCCTGCAGAGGATGAAGTCTTTGTCAGAGAGCCAGAGAGCTCTTGAGCTGGAGAGGAAACTCTTCACATCTGAGCGGCTGCTCAAACAGGTTACAGGCTGCTTCATAGATACTGCATATAAATATGATTCTATCTAAAGAATATGATAATTGTTTAATCCCAAAGTCATAAACTTGAAAAAAAAGCTGAAATAAGAAGAAATGATACACATCCATATACTGTTAATATACAACGCAAACACTGTCCAGATGCCAACATGTCACTGAGTTACAGAAACACCTCCTGCATCCATAACCATCTCTCCTCTTGGCTTTAGATTGTTGTCAGTCTCACACATTGGAATCAATGGGAGATGCTGCATTTTACTATGACGTTCGCACTGTGCCTTATACTTCTGTTCCCTGCTGCAGACTCAGAGCGACAAGATCAAACTACAGCTGAGAGTAGAGGAACTACAACACAAATATGAACCCAAAGGTAAGTAGAATAATAACAAAGGTTTTAAAGACATGGATGTAGGAACATTTTAAATGTTATGTTATGACTGCACTGATGCTGCCTCCTGCAAATTTCTGTCTGCAGAGGCAAAAAATAATCTGATCCAGAAAAGGAAGAAAGAGAAACTTCCTGTGGATATTGTACCCTCCTCTCAGGAAAGCACACTTGAGAAGGGTGAGCAGATAGTTACTTTGGAGACTGATGTCACACATGATAGGACTACAGACCCCAAGGCTGACGTCAGTCCTACAACTAAGGCACGAAGCTCAACAAAAGGTATGTGCATATAGTCATTACGTTTTTTGGGCTGACAGGATCAGATCCTCAAATCAAGATGAATATAGTGCCAAACCCATTAACCATTGTTGGGATATGTTGCAGGTTCAGAACTGACTTTGCCACGTGCTGCAAAATGTGTGAAGATCAGTGGAGAGGAGCCTGTTGTGATTTCCAACCTAAGGTCAGTTTGTGAACTCAGGTCTGTCTCGAACAGATGGGGTGAGAGAAGAGAAACGACTAAATCTGAATAGTTTAAAATCCCCTTTAAAGGTAAAGTGTGTAGAATTTAGTGATATCTAGTGTTGAAATTACATGTTGCAGCTGAACACCCCTCACCTCACCCTCTCCTTCCAAACATGGAAAAGAAACTGTGGTAGCTTCAGTTGTCATAAAAACTCAAAAGGTGTTTAGTTTGTTCAGTCTGGACTAATGTAAAAAACATGTCGGCCTCCGTAGAGAGGATCCCCTTGATGTAAATATAAAGTATTTAAATATAAAGGGCCTTTTCTGGGCTAAAGAAAACTACAATTCATACAATTTAGATGAAATGAGCTAGTGAAAACATCATGAGGATTATTCTACATTAAATTTCTGCCAATAGTTCCCTTTCACCTAAATCTTACACACTGGACCTTTAACTAAATATAGACTAAAACTTAAAACAGTCATATAATGAAAGTGTCGCAGTTTGATATATGTGTAGAGATTTAAACTTTTACTGACATCAAATCATCTGGCAAAATGAAGAAACAATATTGAGTCATTTGTCTTTGTTTTGCTCCCCTAAAGTTCTCCTGTGACTGACAGGACAGATGCCGGGATGGAGGAGAACCTGCAGCAGAACAAGAGAGAGGAGAGAATTAAGAAACAGAGAGCAGTGGAGATGATCCACGTGAGCTCTAACAGCAGTATGGAGAACCAGTGTGCCCAGCAATAGGCCTCATCTGGAACACACTGTGTGCCACCACATGTGGATCTCTGTGGACTGTGTGTGTGTGTGTGTGTATATATATATGTTCTGCTATCTCTTAACAGTCTTTATTTCCTTTCATATATTTGGATTTAAATATGGGCTTATATGTCTTTCTGCCGATTCTTTTTATTTGCTCTACACTGTCAAAAAATTTAAACATTGCAATATTAAAACATTTGCAACAAAGTATTCTGTGTCCAGCTTTAAATATTAAGAGTATTCAGACCCCTTCACCTAACGTTCACATTCTGTTATTCTGTCTGATGCTAAAATCAAGATTAATACCACATAATGCTTAAGTATAATTTTTGAAATGTTTGCAAATGTGTAAAACCGAAATATCGCATTGACACAAGTTTTCAGACACTTTGCTGCTACACAAGTTCACCTTGGGTAAATTCAACTGTTAAGATATTTTTATGAATATAGCACCTTTCGAGATAACATGACAAAACTAAACATACAACACCACCTGTTTTTATAAGGTATCTCACCTGACATGACGCATGAAGCTAAACCATGAATTTAAATCAACTCCCTGCAGAGCTCAGAGACACTGTCAAGTTTCTGGATACATCTGCCTGTGTGATGTTTCCATTTCAACTTTTTAATACATTTCCAAACATTTGTAAACTGGATCTGACTTAGGGTGTGGATTCCATATTAATACTAATCAAATTGTATTTTAGAAGAGATCTGAAAGCTTTCTGTCATGCAGTGTATTCCATCAAGTTCCAATTCTCTGTGATGTGTGTCTCCATCTGTGAACCTCAGTTTAATATGTTATACAATATAAACTCAAGTTCCTGTATTCACTTGTGGTGCAGGATCCTCCATCATCTCGACGTTCCTGGATTCTCTGATCCATGCTCTTCACATTGCACTTTATGATCATATCGTGCAAATGAGTGATGATCGCGTGGGACATTACCTTTAGGAAACACACACATTAAACCTGATAGGATTGTTAACACCTCACTCTCGGTGTCCTGGTCTTCCACACCAGCTGGGGGCAGCAGTGTGACGTGCTGTGGAACACGCTGAGAACGCTACAAATGACGCCGTACACGTGGACCAATGAGTGGACAGTGACGGACGCATGACATCAGAGGTGTCAGTGAGAAGATGAGGAGGAATCATCTTTCTTTCTCGTGTTCACTCTGTACAGTCTATGGTTCGCCCTCTGATTTCAAACAGGCGAGTTCACGTGATTCAACGTGTTGGAATCTCGAGCTTGGTGAATATTGTAGCAGTGCTGTGACCGTGCATCTGTGATCAAAGGTGTGTGTTCGTAGTGTGGTGTGGTGAGTCCTCAGTGTGATGGTCTGCACCCAGCGGGCGGACTCAGGACTGTGTGTCTGTGTGTGTGTGTTTCAGTCACCATGAAGTGGATCTCAGCTGCTTCTCTTCCCTGCTTCACTGTGGCTTCTCTCCTGCTGCTGCACTGCCAGCCTGTCGCCAGCGATGCTGACCGGAGGGTAAGTGTTGTCTGAGATACACTGACTTTCTTAAACCTTGTTGATTCAAAGTGAGTTTATTGTTAAGACGGGGAATGGCAGACAGGTAAGAGGTGATCTTGTGCAACCATCCATGAAGAAGAAGAAGAAGCTGAACTGAAGCTTGTTTGTCTTTATCAAACAGACAATAGCTAGTGAGAGAGGATGGGGAGATATCTTGGTGGAGAACTGTTGCCTTGTGTTTCCTTTAGTGCCCTCAGTGGACAGTAACATAACAGGGGGATATTACAAAACTTAAGTCAAGCGACAACTGTTTTTTTTTCTGTGTCTTTGCAGTCGGACTCTGCCCTAACTGTGGTGGAGAATGCAGAAGGAGGAGGAGGAGGAGGTGGTGAAGGTGGTGATGAGGAAGAGGGGGCAAATGATAATTTAAATGTGGTCCAACCTACTGAGCAGTGGCAAACACTCAAACCAGGTAATGTACAGGAGAGCGAACGGACACTGTCAAATCAAATACAAATATCGGGACATTTGACAAACGTGTGTGTGTGTGTGCGCGCGTGTGTGTGTGTGTGTGTGTGTGTGTGCAGGTCAAGCAGTGCCAGCAGGTTCCCATGTGAGGCTGAATCTGCAGACAGGTCAGAGGGAGGTCAGACTGGGAGAAGAACAGCTCAAGTACATGACACAGGATCACAGGTAATGGTCAGAATAACATCTCATTCACATGACAGCACAGTTCTCTGTAGACGTGCCGGTGATACTGATCACTTCCTTGTGTCTTCCTGTGTTTACCACCACCAGAAAACTGAGGTGTTCACAATACTGTCAAAGCACAGACTGTGAGACAACATGTGATTACGATGGTAGTACTAAGTCTGTCTCTCTCAGTAGGGGAGAGGAGTCTCAGTCCGTCTTCAGTCCTGATGAACTGAAACAGGCCATGAAGAATATAAAGGAGGACCTGAACCCAGTGAGCCAGAACACAAACAGTTATTATCTTTGTTTATATTCTTATGTTCCTATTCAAGCTCTTACTAAACATCCAAACATGTGTGTGCCTTTATTCATGAGTAGTACAGCATATCACACTGTAAGTACAAACTCTTCTCCTGTGTTTGTAGGACTCTAAGGCTTCCAAGTATCGCCCCCTAGAGGAGCTGAAGAGAGACATGGCTCAGCTGGACCTGCTGGTTGAGACTGATGCTCAGGTACATCACTGTTTAGCAGCATTGGGCAATAATAGAAAATAAGTAATTAGATACAGTTAATAGGTACCAAAAGCTAAAAGAATCATCATGATACTTTTTATCTGTTGGATGTGTGAAGGATTATATGTCAGTGTTATATTTACAGGTTTTTGTACTGTGCCACAGTTGGCAAAAAAAAAAATCTCTGAATCTGTTTAAACTGTGCAGGACAAATGAGAGTATTGCAGGTCACCACACTGTACGTTGTTGATAACAAACACTGCTGTGATGTCATGAAGTCACGATGAATGCAGGAAATGACATCATGCATAGTTAAAAAATGCATTTTCCAGGTATCTCTGCATCCTCCAGGTCTGAAGACATGACTAAAAGCTTATATATATATCAAACAATTCATCTTCATTATATGTTAAGAGTGACATCATCGTGATGACCTCTATGGCACCAGAACATGTTACAGTAGCCATCAGAGAAAACTGTTGGTTAATCTGGATTTACACTGAAAGCCAACACTGTTAAAGGCTGAAGATACACTGGTACTAACTTCATTGAAAAACAATATTTGTTGTTAATAACCATGTCTTATATCAGAGCCAATACATAGCATAGTTATTTTCTGTCTTATAATGGGAGGGAAACCCTGTCTAGTTGTTGGTCAAGCTAAATGGAGTGTGTTGTGGTGTTGTTTAGATAATGAGGCGTCTGCTGGACCAATTCAACAGCAGCACCTCAACTACAGAGCAGAGACTGAACATTCTGCTGGAGCTGGAATATCTGGTGCACCAGGTAACTGAATGTACAACCATTCTTTAGGGCTGCACGTCATCACTAGAAGTTTCCACAGTAGAATTCAGTCGAAGGAGCCGGAGCGAGAGTCTCTGTTTTCTCTCTATTCTCTCCTTATGACAATGATTCACTGACGAAAAACCGTCAATGATCTGAATGTCTTTTATTTATCATCTAGTGCAGCAGGGCTCCATCTGATCTGCCAAATACTTTTTGATGTCTGTTGCGATACGTCTATCGTGCACATTGATATCACAATATATTTTAGATATATCGTGCAGCATTATTCTCGTTTTTAAACGTTATCGCATAGTGCATCTTTTCCTAATATCGTGCAGCCCTACCATTCATACACATGAGAACTCTGAAGATGTTTGCTTACCATATTGTGTGTTTGTGTGTGTGTCAGGTGGATAATGCCCAGACTTTGTGCTCGATGGGGGGTCTCCAGTTCATTCTAGACGGCCTGAACAGCTCTGACTTCAGATTACAGGAAAGCTCTGCCTTTGTCCTGGGATCTGCTATGGCCAGGTACAAACAGCAGCACATTCTATGTGTGTAGCTATTGTTTGACTGAAGAGCCTAACTTCTCCACACTACAGCTGTACAATTTCAAACTACCAAAATACATCACTTCTCTACATTTTCATTTCCTGAGTAACTGAACCACATCACTCCTCTGTAGCTGCACATGTCTAATTGGTCTTGTAAAACAGCACAGGAAGTACACAAACACCCAAACTGACCCTGCTGGCTGTGGTAACAGTGTGTGAATTGTGTGTGATAGAAAAGAAGCACTGTCTGAATGTGTAAGGCTGACTGGATCAATGCAGCTGAGAGGATGTCAGCTGAGTAGGTGGCCTAATGGCCCAGGACACATTTGTGTTCACACTGCTAGAAGAATGTGGCCACATGAGTCAAAGACTACCTCAATGTTGAGAGGTCAACGTGGGATCTCTAATGTGCCCTCAGGTCTCAACAGGGCCTTGAAGGAACCATTAGTCACGGAGGTGGCCGTTTCCACACCTGACTCCAGTCAGCCAGCAGGTGTCACAACTTGGGCTTTGTGGAATGTCCCTCTCTATTCAAAAAGGATGGGTAGCCATGTGTTATTGGCACACAGTGCAATCCTACCTACATGACTGACAGTTCATCATCCACTCCGGTTCTGCTAACCCCTATGTCCTCTTCTCCACAATTAACAAACTTCTCAAACCCATGGACAATCTCTCCCACTGTTAAATGCATCTCCTTCCTTCCTTCACCAATCAAAGATCGAGAGCATCTACAAAAACTAGCCACACTAGCCCCCCTCCACTCTGTGTCTCAGTCTCAGTGTTGGTGTGTTTGTGTCCTGCAGTAACCCAGTGGTTCAGGTGAAAGCTGTGGAGAGTGGAGCTCTGCAGCGGCTGTTGACTGCACTGGCCACTGCACAGCCAATCAGAGTGAAGAAGAAGGTACTGACACCCACCCACATCACCATCAACTCTCCAGTACCTGTACAAACATGTCAAGTTTTTTGTGTGCCATTGTCCTCCTGCCAGGTCCTGTTTGCAGTAGCCGCCCTCTTGCGTCACTTCCCCTATGCTCAGCATAATTTCCTGTCTCACGGGGGACTACAGGTCCTCTCGGAGCTGTTTAGGGCAGATGGAGGTGGAGTTCTCCGAACACGAATTGCCACCATGTTATATGACATGATCAGCGAGAAGGTACAACACACAACCTGTATTTTAAGT